TGCTTCCGTTGTCAGAAAACATCATTTCGTCTTAGCCTCTTCATAGAATGTTCTTTAAACCTCCACTCCATTATCCACTCTCCTAGGAAGTATTTCTTCCCTGGAAAACTAGTTAGTCTAGCAAATATTTACTGAGTGCCTACTATATGCTAGGAACTGTTTTAAGTGTTTGAGATACATAAATGAAGAAGACAAAGTCCCTGCCTTGTAGAGGTTCTGTGCTAGTAGGAAGAGACAGGGAGGACAGGTAAGTCATGGTCTTGTACTGATAACTTTTAGGAAGATGGTAACATAAGGTAAAGTTATAGATGGCAACTGGAATGGGATGTTGCATTAGACAAGCACTGTCCAATAGAGCTTTCTTGATGGAAATGTTCTATATCTGTGCTGTCTAATATGATAACCACTGGCCACATGTGGCTATTGAGCACTTGAAATATGTGGCTGAGAAACTGAATTTTTAATTCAATTTTAATGCAAGTAGCCACACGTGACTAGTAGCAACTGTATTGCACAGTACGTTTTAGGTGAGAGAGTCAAGGACACCCTTCTTGAGAGACATTTAGTTGAGAATGTAACTTACAAAGATCTCAGGGAAGAGCATCTAAGCTGAAGGGACAGCAAGGTCAAAGCCCCTTAGATGGGAAAAATCATGATGTATTCCCTGAGCAAAGAAAAAGCCAGTGTGAATGGAGCGTATCTCCTAGGTAGGAGTGATGCTCAAAATAAACGTAACAGCTTGTGTAGCATGAGCACTAACTAATCAGAACAGGTGCCAGTCATAAATAAACTGGCACCTACCCATTGACTTAGCTTTAGGCCCTAGGGAGGAGTTTATTCCAAGAGTAAATAAAAGACATTGAGCTTTTTTTTTTTTTTTTTTTTTAGTCACTAGCCAGTACAGGGATCTGAACCCTTGACCTTGTTGTTATAACATCATGCTCTAACCAACTGGCCAGGCCTAATATGGAGCATATTAAGGTGAGAGTGTAGAGAAAGTGAAGGAAAATGGTCAGGGCCCCTCAGATGTTCAGAATCTTGCTGAGCATTTGATGTAAATATGCACGTTTGCCCAGGTATTCCTTGGTTATTGTCTAATGTAATTGCACATGTGCACCCAGGTGTCCTGGGTTATGGACTTAAGTATAAAGGACAAGTAGCTCTGATCCACAGATCCCCCCTCCCACCCCCAGAGGGCACAGGGAGGTCGCTACTGCTGCTGGAGGCTGTTGCTGCCAGTGCCCCCAGATGCCCCGAAAGGCGACCATCGCTGCTGCCTATGCTGCTACTGCTGACTACTGAGCTCGTGTCATCTGCCAGCGGCTCCCGGGATCTTTCCCAACTACCTAGCATGGACCTGCATGTGAGGGATCTGGTGACCCAGTCTGTACAATGGGTTTGAAGGGTCTGAGCCCTAGCCCTGACAATACAAACGGAAACTTAGGATAACTAAAATAATGAAATTATGAATTACAATTAGCGTAGCTATTGCTGTAACCCGACAACTGGCATAGTCACGTAGCTTTACAGAGAGGTAACGATCTCATTTATGTTCTGGAAGGAGAAATTTCAGAGAATATATGGAAGTAGAGAGGTAGGAGAGAAGTTAGGAAACTACTGTAGAAATCTAGGTTCAAAATGAGAGTGCTTGGATTAGGTGCTAGCAGTGTACTTAGTGGGAAGTATTCACATTTGGGATATACCCTCGGGGCAAGACCAATAAGATTTACTAAGAGACTGGATGCAGGAAAGAAGGATGAAGAGTGACTATGTTTTTGGCCTAAGCAACTGGTGGTGCCATTTACTGAGATGGGGAAGGACTGAAGGGAAGTATACTTGAGTAGAAAAATTAATAGTTCTTTTTAAGTTTGATTTGCCTATTAGACATCCAGGTAGGCAGTTAAATAGGCAGATCTGAACTCAGAGGAGAGATCCAGGTGGGAATCATCAGCAGACAGCACAGAAATGGTATTTGAAGGCTTCTGGCCTTTTGGCGGAGGCTGGTCGTGCTTCCTCTGCCGCAGGCAGGATGTGAGAAGCAGGGTCAGCACTCTGCCTGCTTCCCCCTCGCTATCAGATCAGTATTTTCCCACCCTCACAAACTTAGCCATCCTCTTGTCAGGTCACACTGTCACCCTAACACTGTCCAAAGCCGTCTCTATCACTCACTGCTGAAACTGCCAGGTCACCCACCCATATTCACTGAGCAGTTAAAGCGTGGGCTGCCATCATCCTGGGGAGGACAGATGCTCAAGGAGGTGTCTCGCCCAGCATTCCAACCCCACAGTGCAGTGACCTGCGTTTTTTTCTTCCCATAGGAAGTGTGGTTCCTGCCTCAGGGCACTCATTAGAGAAGGGGGCAAAGGCAGTAAGGGCCTCACACATGTTCAGTCTCAGAAGAATGTAGAGAGAGAGGACACAAAGGAGAGGGTGGTCAGTTCTACCTAAGAGAATCAGGAAAGTCTTCAGAGAGAATCTGATATCTTTTTAAAAAAAAATAAGTTTTCAACCAGGCCCATGAGAAAATAAGGGGAGAGGTTAACAAGGACACCGAAGGCAGCGGACACCATCTCAATAAAGGCACGAGGCATTTATGTGACTGCCCGCACGGGGTGGGAGAGGGGCACAAGCAATTGAGTGGCTAGAACATGGCTGCAGAGAGCAACAAGGACCTGCTGGACATTATCTAACAGGTAGAAGAAGCCACTGAAAGATTTTAAGCAGAAGAGGAACGTGATTCAGATATGCCTTGAGAAGTGTCTCAAGCAGTAGAATATGGAGGGTGGATCAAAAGCAGGCAAGGAGGCCAGTTAGGAGGCTCCTGCAGTGGGCCATGTACAAGATGATAAAGGTCTACAGTAGGGAGCAATAGATGGAGTAGAGAGGAAGGGCCACATACAAGGAATGATCATTAGATTGACAGGACTTGGCGACGGAATAGATATGGGAAGGTGCTGGGAGGGAGACTCAGATTGCTGACTTGGTGACCTGGCGGTGTTGTTCACTGAGATTGGGAACTCAAAAAGGTGAGCAGGGTGGGGAAGACAAAGATGAATCCTGTTCTGAGCAGGGTGGATTTGAGGTGTATCCTGTGGACATGTCTAACAGGCAATGGGATAGATCGGTCAGATGCCCAGAGAAGGAGGCAAAGTGGGAGCTCAAGACCTGGGAGCCATCAGCACAGAGGTGAGCCCTGGAGTGTGGGAATAGATGAGATCACCTGGGAAAGGAAAAGGGCACAGGAGAGTCACACCTACAGCTGAGGGCCAGCAGACGGGCTGGGCAAGCCAGCCCTGTCCAGACAAGGGCAGATTCTTGGGTCAAACACAGACACACACATGACCTAAATTTGTACATTTCATATCTACCATGCCATAGTTGCCCATATTAGAATTAGACTAATAGAGAGTCCAGCACATACATATATTCCCACTTCTCCAAATTTTCTTTCTTAATTATGTATTCACATCCCTCAGTCACAGAATCTCAAGGTTAAAAATTCCTTAAAGGTCATCCAGCCAAACCCTCTGACCAAACCAGTTTACACATTCTGCCTGAAACATGACTTGTGTCTGCCCACCTCTACTTCTGAAGTGCCTCTGCACCCACCTTCTTCTTCCAGGCCCAGCTCCATACCCACAGTTACACCTACCCACCCCCCTTGCCTGTAGTCATTCTTCTCAGTGAGCTAATACGCACATGCTATTCAGCATATCCTGCTATAGTGTTATTTTTTTACATTTCATGCTTATGTCCTATGTCTAATTAGACTGTAGTAATAAGAGCATTAGCTACCATTTCTTGTGCACTTACTATGGTCAGGCTCTGCTTTTTGTATATTATCTGACTTAGTTGTCACACCGACCCATTGAGTAGGTACTACTTTTTTTTTTTTCTTTGTTGGGGGCTGGGTGGTCTGGGGATCCGAACCCTTGACCTTAGTGTTGCAAGATGGCGCTCTAACGAATTGAGCTGACCAGCCAGCTCCCAAGCAGGTATAATTATTATCCCCAGTTTATCAAAGAGAACATTAATGCACTGAAAGGTTGTGTAACTTACCAAAAACCCAGACCCAAGAAGTGACCTAGCTGATTTATAAGCCTAGATAGTCTAAGTTAAATAGTATGCCAAACTGTCAGCTTGCAAATTCTTATCACTTTGCGTTTTCACTGCTTTACACATGACAGATTCTCGTTCTTGATAATACTACTAATATTAACCTGAAGAATTTTTGAGTTGGAAGGGACCTTAAAGTTTATCTCTCATTTTACAGATGAGGAAGCTAGGACCTAGTAAAACTGATTAATGGCTACAATCTATATGGCATTTAATCTGTGAATGACCAAAACCTCAATACAGAGTACACAAACCGGGGAGCAGAAATTATCATAATGTATTTTCAGTCACATAAAAGACTTTCTAACTCTAATGCCAACTGGACCCACCAGCTCCTACCCCACCCTTCTCACCAGACCAGCATGTGGACAAGAGCCAAGGATCTACAGTGAGAAAAAGAAGGGTGTGAATCCTCACAGCTCTTCGCCTTATGAGCTGGCTGCCCTTGAAGAAGTGTCTTCCCCTCTGAGCTGCCGATTCCTCATCTATAAAATAGTGATAGTGAGGTTCTTACAGTTCAAGGTTCACAGCTGCATGGAAAGTCAGCAGGGAACTAAGGAATAGGTGTGGAATTTGGAGTCAACCTTGGTTTTGAATCCTGGCTGCCTCTTACTGTTCTCTTTGGGCAAGTCACTTCACTCTGCCTCAGCTTCCTCATCTTTAAAATGGGGGTAATACCTGAAAGGTTTGCTATGAGGCTCAAAAGTAGCTGTTTGTAAAAACACTGTAATCCTGCAGGTGTTAGTTATGGTGAGTTTTTCTCTCTTATTGTTATAAATTCACTAGGTAACATTCCCAAACCATTACACACTTTTCCATCCTCAGAATGTTTATGTCTATGAAAACACAACAAGAAAAATGACAATAAATATATTTTTTTCCAGGTGTCCACATTTCTAAAGGATAAAGTTCAGAATTCTAATGGTCGCTTTGTGTTGCCAGTGTCTGGCCCTCTTCCCTGGGGAACTGAAGTTCCCGGACTCATCAGGTGAATTCTCAACAGTAATTATCAGAGAAACTTTTGGGGTGCTTGGAAACCAACATGTGGGCCACCACATAAAATGCAGCACTGCTGAGCCCCTCAGGCTCTGCTCGGCCCCTCCCTTTCTTCAGTAAAGCACAGCTATTAAAGAGGCTTGGTTCTAGTCCAGGCTCTGCCACTTAGCAGAGGGACTTGAGGCAAGCCACCCGATTCCCCAGGATTCATTTCCTCATCTGTGAAATGGTTATGTGAGGATGAATAAAGTAAAGTGCTCTTACACAGCACCTGGCACGTAATGTGGGCTCCACAAGCATTATTGTTATTATATTATTATTATTATTATTATTATTATTATTATTATCATCACAACCAGCATTTTTATCTTGAAGGAGTGCATGAATTCCTTTTTATCCTATAGTACAAAGAATAAAGAAGCTTCCAGGACCACCCAAGCTTGGAGAACGTTCCATCATGTCATATTTTGTATTGTAGAATGTTCAACAACAAAGGTGAAGAAGTGAAGAAGATAGAGTTCAAGCATGGTGGAAACTATGTCACTGCACCCAAAGAAGGTTCCTTTGAACTTTATGGAGACCGAGTCCTGAAACTGGGAACTAACATGTAAGCAAATTCTCCCTGCCTAAGTGAATTCAAGTCCAAGGGAGGTCACTTTGTTTAAAAAACCAGCCTGACGGGGCCGGCCTGTGGCTCACTCGGGAGAGTGTGGTGCTGATAACACCAAGGCCACGGGTTCGGATCCCATATAGGGATGGCCGGTTTGCTCACTGGCTGAGCGTGGTGCTGACAACACCAAGTCAAGGGTTGAGATCCCCTTACCGGTCATCTTTTAAAAAAAAAAAAAAGAAGCGAAATTTGAGTTCTTAATACACACTTATTCTGAGTTGTATTCTGTACTCATAGCACCTTTCTGGATGCTATTTAATGCTGCAGAGTAAAAGCTGTGAACTATACTTACGAGTTAGAAGAAAATCCATGGAAAGAGCTAGATAATATCACCATTTTCTGTTGACTCAAGGTACAGTGTGAATCAGCCTGTGGAAACCCACATGTCCAGAGGATCAAAGAACTTAGCCTCACGGACACAGGTGAGCTTCTGCCTCCCTCCCTTCTCCTCACCACTTCTTCCTGGACACAGAAATCAACATGGAGAGAAGGGTGGGAACTCTTTAGATTTCAAAGCTAGCCAACGTTTCCCTCTTGTTTGCAATCTTCTCCATTCAGCCTTACAAGTACACGGGTTTTTAATTGTAGCTTTTCATGGAGACTTCCAGTGATCTGACTAATTAGGTAATTTTAGACTTGGCTCAACCACCATAATTAAGCAGGAACTACACACCAGGACATGTGAAGTAGCATTGTATCGATGACATTAGGTCCATGGTTGCTGACACCAGCACTTGCATGTATTCTGATCACCGAAATGTCGCTTCTTAATGCTTCCCTATATGGTGATGCAGTAGCTAAGTCCAAACAAGGCTTTAGGGTGGGCTGGTTAGCTCAGCTGGTTACAGCACGACCTTGTAACACCAAGATCAAGGGTTAGTTCCCCTTACCAGCCAGCCGCCCAAAAAAATGGGGTTTCAGTTTTTCTGAATTTGTCTTTACAAATTTTCACTAAACTAGCTACCAGCTAGCTAGAGGACAAACGTGAAATTTTCAGTTATTCAGCAAACATTGATTGAACTGCTTCTATGGCCTGGGTACCCAGGGACACAAAGCTGATGCTGATACGGCCCCATCCTGAAGGGGCTTATAGTACCCCAGGAAAGACAGCAAGAGAAACAGATCACTATAACAAGGCAGAAGAAGAGCTAGCTGGGTGTTCTGAACAAAGTGCTGTGCAGAAGAGTACATGCTCTGTCCAGTGAGGTGGGGGCCAGGGGACAGGGATCAAGAAGCCTTTTCAGAAGAGGTGACATTGAAGTGGGCTCTAGAGTGGTAAAATACTAACAGCAGGGAAGGAGCAATGGGCATGCAGACCGAGGTGACACGAAGAGCAAAGGCACAAAGGGGCAGAAGAGCATAGCGTTGGGGGCAGAGGGGGCAGTATGTCTCCCACTTGGCTGCATCATAGCAAGTTGAGGCAAGTGGCAGAGATTTAACTGGACAGAGTCATGGGGCCTGATTAGGAAGGGCATTTAACAATTTGGATTCTGTTCTTTAGAAAGGAGGCAGAGGGAGTTGTTTCAAGCAAGGCAGAAACAAGAGAACTGGTGGCAGAGGCAGAGCAGGGGAAGGCTGGATTAGAGAGAGTCCAGAGCCCAGATAGAAGGCAGGGGGCGAAGGCCGAAGTGGGGTGGGGACACTGAGAAGAGGGTGTGTTCGTGGCTGTCACCGCCTGAGGGCAGTGTGGTAGCTCCTCTGGAATGAGTGCCCTTGGACCTAGAGACTTGACTGTGGCTACATGTAAATGCTGAGGGAACTGGATTGACTGAAGAGGAAGCAATGTTCTCCTTCAAAGAGGAAGGTAGTTTGAGGAGAAACGTGGATCCCTAGAGCCTTCCACTCATCTTGAAAATATGAAAGTCTCAGGTTTGATGGATTGCTAGATTTCTGCAGCTTCTGACATGGATTATTTTTCTTTTGGTTAAGCCTGTTTTTCTAAGCTTTATTTGGATCCAGAAATAACCTAAATAGTTATTGTTTTGCCTTATTTTATAACACCTCCCTGGGTCTCTTGAGTCATAGCAGGAAATGTGATCAACTTGATGTGGCTAAAAATCATGCAATTGTTTCTGCAGGAAAACATTGCTCCAAACCCTCTTGCTAAAGAAGAGCTGAATCTCTTGGCCCGGCTGATGGGAGGGATGGAGATTAAAAAACCCAGTGGCCCTGAGCCAGGATTCCGGTTGAATCTCTTTACCACCGATGAAGAAGAGGAGTAAGTTTTAAAACTGTTTCTTTAAAGACATATATAAAAATCCTAACTGTGATAAGGACCCAAAAATGACAATTGAAAACCAATGACACATAAATACAGAGTTAAGATCACAAGTAAAATACCAACGAATTTAATAATCTACTTAAAGAATCCAGCAGAATTAAAGGGCCTGAACTTTCTGGAATCATCCAAAGAAGAGTCCTAATGCTTTACTTAGCAGAACACAGCTGAATAAGAAGTATTAGAAGCCAAGATTATCATATTAAGAAAAGTCTATTAAGAAACCAGAGGAAGGTTGGAGCTTGATGTCTTTGGGATTAGATAGCCTCACCCAGAACAAATAGCAATTGTAATTCACTGAGATTAATACAGTGCTTTACAGTTTACAAAGTGCTTTTGCCTATGTTATCTCATCTCATGTGATCTCCCTCAACCAAATATTTGGGGTGGAAGTTGCCTTCTATTTCCCCATTCATTGACCTAACTTCTTTTGTTTACTTCTGTGTGGCAAGTACTATGTTAAATGCCAGGGACATAAAGATGGAGTGTAAGACCTAGCACCTGTCCTCAGGAAGCTCCCAGCTTAGTGGGAGAATGAACATGTACATAAATTATTTCAGTGCCATGTCATGAATGCTCTGATTGAGGACATGGTGACTGACTTTGTACCAGCGGATTGAAGGAGTTGGCATTTTATCTGAATCTTGGAGTTTGCCAAGCAGAGGAAGGAGAAAAACATTTTAGCAGAGTTTAGTATGTGCAAAGTCACAGTGACATGAAAGGACTTGACTTTCTGGAGTGTAGGGTGCATTGGTTGGGAATGGCGTGGAATGTTAAAGAGAAATGGCAGAAGATGAGGCAGAAAAAATAAGTTGCCACATTATCAAGAGCCAGTTTGCCATCCCAGCAGGGAGAAAACCCTAACCTTGGACCCATTTCTTTACTGTCTCATCCAGACAGGCAGCACTAACCAGGCCAGAAGAGTTATCCTACGAAGTTATCAACATACAGGCTACCCAGGTGCGTAAAGGGGATTACACAGGTTCAAATCTTATCCCCCTCACCATCTTATAGTAACCTTGAACTTCAAAAACCCCCTTTTTCTCTCTACAATCAGCCTGTAACTACAATCCCTATTCTGACAAATAGGAGAGCAACTGAAACGCATCACAGTGGTGGGATGAAAAATTAAATACCTATTTCACAAAGAGGTTGCCCTGCCGACACATCGTCTTCATTCCCTTTCACCTTTCATTTCTCTAACAGGATGAGCAACGAAACGAAGAGCTGGCTCGGATCATGGGGGAATTTGAGATCTTGGACCAGCCAAAGCAGAGCGCCAGCAAGGGGGATGATCTGCTAGCCATGATGGATGAGTTATAGCTGTGCTGACCTGGCACACCCTGCCCCCAGGGGAGAGGCTGCTTGATGAGGACCCCTGCCCTTCTAGTTCCTGTTTATGTTGTAACAAACTGTGCAGATCTTACTCAGAGAGGACCCTCTCTTGAAGGCACACACATACACAAACTTTCAGCAAAATATATTTTGGCTTTTAAACTTGACTCTTCCCACTTTATTCTTAATTCTGTGGCAACCATCCAAATCATCCTGGGCCATAGGTTTGAGCCCCAGAGTAGGTAAGGGGACATGCCTATTGTCATTTTCGGGTTTACTATTTCAGCTTTCCTGTGGGGACCTAGATCTCACAGATGCCTATAAGTTATAACAAAAACTTCAGAGTTTTCTGGGAACCATGGTAAAGGCAGTTGCCTCCAACAGTCAGGGCCCAGTTTAGACAGCCCTCCTCTCCCTGGCACACTAGGAACTGTGACCTCAGAGAGGCAGACTCAGCCAGGCCCCAAATAGGGCATGTGGGTGTCTATGCTTCTCTGCACATCTCTCCATCCATGGGTAGATGTGGGTTTATCACATATTGAGGTGTGTACCGAGAGGAGATTTTGCTTTGCACCATGGTACGTGCTCTTTACCCCCAGAGTCACTTAGTGTGCTCTTTACCCCTCTGCCACTTAGTGTGCTTGCCTTTAAAGACCCCCAGCACGATGTGCTATGATATCTGTCTCCTCTGCTCCTCTATCAGTACCCAAGCAGAGCCTTAGGTTGGGTGCAGTCTCCATTCCGTGTTCCAGCTGAGCCACTTCCTTTGGCAGGATGCCAAGTCTAATTGGGATCCATGTCAGATATCTCTGGCCATGGCTGCCCTCCACCACATGCTCCCTCCTGGGACGAAGTAACTGGCAGGTTCAGGGCCAGCCAACAGCCAGTGGTCGAAGTACATTCAGTCCTATGGAGGGAATATCCAGAATGGCAGAGAGTAAGAGAGAAACTAGGCTGAGCTGGTCATTGCCTGAGATTGGACCAACAAGAGGGATCACTGTGGTCCCTCGCACCCTGGGAAGAGTGGAGGCAAATGTAGTTCTGGAATGTGAGGGCCAGGGAAGCTGCCCTTTGTCTGGCCCAAGGCATAGGGTTTGGATATGGGAAAGCTAAATCACCAAGTAAATTTAAGTTGCTTCCTACCCATTAAAGTTATACTGCCCTTACAGTATTATTAACTGTAGGCAATGGGAAAAAGAGTAAAAAATAGAAAATATACAGTTATACTACCATACCTATAAAGACACCCCTCCCTCCTCACAAAAGCTCTTTTGGGGAGGAGAAGCATATCGTGCTGTAAAACACCTACTACAGATGTACAAAGTGCCTTCTGTTTTGTCTCTTTTACGCAGTCTGGCCACCAGTCGGGCCTGATTGGGTGACAGATGAAGGGGAAGTTTCTGTCCTGTTTTGAGTCTAGCTCCCACTGCGCTGTCACAAATCCCAACTTCACTGTCTGCTCTACGCATGTCCTGGGGCCTTGGAGGTGGGCCACAAGCTGCCAAGAAGCAGCAGCCTCCTCCCTCCACCGATCCCAGAGCAGTGCTGATGATTTGAGATGTATCTATCTGTCCTCTCAGTAAATAAACAAGATACAGATCTCTGGTAAGGCAGCTCTGTGATGAAGCAATCTATGAGTTTCATGTCTCTAGACTTGCACAAATATTGAGAAAAACAAGTTTATTTGCATGGTGGTTCAGAGCATACAGAGAAAGCATGGGAGTCGGGAGGAGGCAAAGAAAAAGGGAAATAGGGATCACTCTGCCTAAAATGTGGACTGAGTAGTAACAGCGCATCAGCATTCATTTAAAATCACACCAAACGGTGTCATGCAACAATGCGCAGTGCACTTCAGGGGAGGGCACCATGATCAGAGTCGGCACTGCACACTGGTCCTGTCCCTGCTCCAAATTCACCATGTCATCTTGGGCCAGTTACCCTCACCAAGACTCATTTCCCTCATCTACTAGAAAGAACTAGTTCAGTGGCTTAAATCCAGCTTGCCCAGAGAAGTTATTGGGTTTACAGATTCCTAGACCCTGCCCCAGGTGGGACTTGAGAATTGGAGTTTTAGCCTGTGCTGCCCCACCCCCCATGCTTTGGGGGATATCTGCTCTTTCTCAGCTCTTCTGTGACTGTAACCTCTTCTCAACTAAGTTTCAAACAACTCTTGTTCTTAGAGTGTTAGAATGCCCCCAGATTACGTAAGCAATGCCGTAGAAAAGCCAAAAACCAAAGGACTTTAATGCGTCCCAGAAGAAAGAGGTGATAAAAATCAGGAGTGAGGGAGGAAGAAAAAAGGGGGGAAATGTATTTGTCCCTCAATAAATACATTTTCCCCCTCAATTCTAAAGACGTCATCCCATGTCGTTCACATAAGTATTTAACAATCTTTCAAGGTAAAACAAAGTTTTTTCCTTAATCTAAATCCTAATAGGAGAGAGACAAACTTCAGCATGATAACCAGATCCCAGAGATATCCACATCAAAACTGGATCAGATTCCTTCATCCACATCCTTCTGGTCTGTAGCCATCTGCTTTACATTCACTATAGAGCCACACTGTCCCTTTTGTACTAACTCAAGTCACAGGAAAACATAGAAAGAGAATGCAGATTTTAGAAAATATGTATATTTAGCATAATACTTAATTTTTTTTTTTTTTTTTTTTTTTTGCGCCTGACTGGTACAGGGATCCGAACCCCTGTCCTTGGTGTTATAACACCGTACTCCAACCAACTGAGCTAACCAGCCATCTCCTTATACCTAATCTTAAAGACCCAAATTATGGTCGGTTAGCTCACTCAGTAGAGCGTGGTGCTGGTAATATCAAGGACTAAGGGTTCATATCTCTGAACCAGCTGGTCACAAAAAAAAAAAAAAAAAGACCCAAATTAACATCTGAAAACTAATGCAACCTTTACCTACCACTTACTCTCTTTAAATTATGCCCTGGATCACTCCTCTTCAGCTGCTAAATTCCTGGATAGCTGACAGTAGAGGGAATTGCAGAAGGGATTGGGATAAGAAAAACCCTCCGCAGTTGTGTCTTCCCTCTATAGCATCATGACTTGTAGTGAAGCAAAGTCTCAGACCATAACTCATCCTTTTTCAAGTGAGAATGTCGAAATGCATTCCTAGGGCCAATGGAAATTATTTTTCATTATTTGACTACCTTAACACTCACCACCACCACAACCAACATATACGTACATTCTAGATTCTTTTTGTTTCTGGTCAGTAGTGCCTTGGCTGACAAAAATAACATTGCTTTCTCTGTTAGTTCCCAAAACAATATGAAAGCTCAATTGCATTAGGCCTGGTGAAGCCACGTCATTAGCAGAGCCCCAGAAGTGCAGGGGACAGAACCCAGGACCTAGATGTACACAATCACCTCAGTTCACTCTGTTCTTCATTCTCTATGCAAAGCTCTCCAACTTCCTTTTGAAATGGTGAGGCCAGCAGGTTTTCTAGGAAAGTCGTGGTAGCAGCTAAGGATGTTTGACTCAGGTTTTCTGGATTTCCCAAAGACCTCTCAGCTTAGGTTACAATCAACAAGAAGATAATACGATTGTCCCTCAGTATCCACCAGGGGATTGCTTCCAGGACCCCCTGAGGATACCAAAATCCACAGATGCCGAAGTCCCTGATATAAAATGGCATAGTCTTTGCATATAACCAATGCGCATCTTCCTGCATACTTTAAATCATCTCTAGGTGCTGATAACACCAAGGCCCCGGGTTCGGATCCTATATAGGGATGGCCGGTTTGCTCACTGGCTGAGCGTGGTGCTGACAACACCAAGTCAAGGGTTAAGATCCCCTTACCGGTCATCTTTTTAAAAAAAAAAAAGTGGCCTGGCCAATTGCCAAGTGATCTTATTTCATCCCTGGCCTTCTCCATTCCTCACCCGTCTCTCTTGCTCTCCCTCCATTTCTCACCCTCAGCCTATTCCTTACTCTCATTCCATTGCTGATCCGAATGTTTGAGGAGCCCTGCAGTGCTTCCTTTGCATTCTTCTGCAGATTGCTTAGCATCACTTTTTTTCAGACACGCCATTACCTTCCACCACTACCTCTGTGCTATCCCCTCCCAACCCGAGCTGCAGACTCTCTTTCCCTGAGCTGTTCCACATCAGCTCGCACTTTAGTGTCTAAAACTGAAGTGATTTTTATGCATTTGGGACATTTACTTCACTTTCAAAAGACATGAAGAAACTTTTAAAATTGTAATAGTCCATTTCTGTTGCTTATAACAAAATACACAGAATAGGGTAATTTATAAAGAAAATAAAATTTATTGCTTACAGTTTCTGAGACTGGGAAGTCCAAAGTCCAAGGAACATAGCTGGTGAAGTTTTTAGTGGTAGCAACAGTGATGGCAAGGTATCACATTGTGAAAATGACAGAACAGAGAAAGGGACAGACGCTTCATGTTCCCTTTTTAAAGCTCTCCAAACCATGCCCATGTGCACCATTTTTAATCCAGTCACTAAGGCATGGTACAATCTAATCACCCCTTCAAGGCCGCATCTTTCACTTACAATAATAGGACTTTGCACCCTCTTTACATTGTCACAGCAGGGGACTAAGTTTTGGGGGGACATTCAACCCAAGGCTAAAATTAATACAAAATAGGACAGTTTTTTATAGTGAGATAGGAGGTACTCAGTTTCCATGGGTTCAGGTTTCAGGATACACCTCTGGGTTTCAAGCCACTCCCCAAGGTCTCAGGTCCGTCCTCTAGGCCCTGCCCTAGAGGAGAGTTAACTGTTGCTTGTTGGACCTATTTTTGGCACCAACACGGGGAAATTGAGACCTCAGGGGGCTGACATGCAAATCCAGTGGCTGGACATGCTCACTAGAAAGGGGTTATATAACCCTAATAGCCAAGCATGCTCTGTAAAATGGAGTTTATCCTTTGAATGATTTTCCAGTAGAGATGCAAAAGAGCACAGAATATTCTTGAATATATTCAGTGCTGTAATAGAATTTGACCAATGAACACGGCTCTAATAAGACACTGAGCATGTGCAAGACTGTTAACGTGGATGGGAACAACCCCCTTAGTTGAATATTCATTAGATAGCATGAATATGTATTGGATAGCAGAACTATAAAAGTGGAATCCCTGGGCCAACCTGTGGCTCACTTGGGAGAGCATGGA